GAGATGCAGGTATCGTTGTTGCTGGCGTTATTACAGACCACCACACCCACTTTGCCAGTGATATCCCATTGCTGAAGAGTCTCGTAGATATTGTTGGATATGTTGGGACCGCTGTGATCGCCGCTCATGTGGTTGAAGGCGATGAGACGAGACTGGTGCTGGCCCATACTGTTGATGAAGTGGGCAGTGACTGCAAGGTAGGCGTAGTTGTTGGGTGACGTCCACAGATCAAACCCAATATGGATCTTAGTGAGGGCACTGTGGAGTTCATCCTTGACGTAGGATTGCCCCCTAGCGAAGAGAATGGGAAGATGGTCCATCATTGAAGTCCTACCCCATGGCACCTGATCAGCCAGAGAGGAGTTGTGGAGTCGTAGAACTTGTTGAACGAAGCTATCTTAAAAGTGGTCGAATGGTAGATCGTTGGTGATGATGGTGGAGAGACAGAGATCTATGACAGTAGCCACTTTCGACTTGGGTATATGGGAGATCTTCCTCCTCTTCGATGAACGAGTACCATGCTCTGAGCTGTGGAGAGTCTCTCCTGAGCTTGTCTCATCGGTAGCAGAACCCCATTGTGAGACTTGATGGCATCTGTATATAGATCAGTTAACAATAATCATACCAAAGGACATATACGTACCTGCGAAGATGGTCTGCAGCAGAGCTAGAAGCAGTAGCAGCAAAGAACTCTGGCTTTCCTTTACTGTCACATTGTTGACAGCACCAGTAAGCACCAGCTGGCCCCTCATCACAAAGCTCAACAAGGAAGACCCCATGGTCCTTAAGCCAACTCTTCCTCCCCCTGCCTCCTTTACGGGCCAGCTGCTCCTCAACCACATATCTCTTGTTCTGCCATATGATCTGTAGGCAGTACACACTGCTCATCTGGACCAACGAGGCAAGCAATGAGGCAATACGACTGGTATTGACGGTTGGTTGGTGATGTTGTGGTGAAGGTGGCTGCGGTGGGCTGGATCAACCAGGAGGTGGATCAGGCAGCTGGTGCCTGGGGCACCAGCCACTGCCTCAGGTTTCCACAGTCCCACATGATCGTAGGGAGGTCGAAGATGGATGGATTCGAGGGAAGAACGACAGAGACACTGTTGGCCACTTGAGTTGCAATTATGGAGGGGGATCGAAGCAGTTGAAGTACGTTGGTAGGTAAAGGAGTGGGGGACAACATCTGTGAATAGCATCGTTAGTTGTGAAACCAAGACATCATCATGCCCGGGGAAGAAGAGCTTCCTGGATGGATGGGGAAGCCCTTATATAGGGCCAGGGAGAGAGGAGGGGGGGAGTGGCTGACGTACGGTTGAAGTCATCATGGCAAAGGTAGGCAAGCCCAGGATGATCGTGGGCAGACGGGTCGCCCAGGTACTGAGAGCCGGAACCTTGGGTATGTATAGGGCGATGTTGCTGATGTTGGCTGCTTGTGAGGCATGAGGAAGAAGAAGAGACGTAGTAAGAGAGCGGTTCCAGTGCTTTTATACCCATATCCAACGTCGCTGGGAATCATAGATCACTCAGGAGTATTGTCTGAAGAGAAAATACAGCCAGGAGGGCAGAAAAGAATGTCGCAAAGCTGTCAGGATTAATGGTGCTGCATACAGAAAAAGAAAGCTGACCGCGTTAGGGCGTGAATATTCGCGATAATGGCATCCCATTGGCTATATACAGGCTTATGTAATATGCCAAGCCAAATCAACCCAATATATCAAATCCCGGTGGTCAGAAGTTGTTTCATTGATAGTTGGGAATAGCCTCAGTTGTTTGGTTTGTTTGGAAGTTTGATTGATAGATTGGCTTTAGCGGCAGCGCTGGCCTCATCTGATGGAGAAGCGAAGCATTGGCAGGAGCTTGGGGCCAATCGACAACGACCAAGGTCACGCTGGTTCTCGAAACCGAGCTTCCAATCTGTTTTGAGGTGAAGTTTGCCAGATTTTCCATGCTATCAGGGCACCCTTGATTGGTCTTTGCCGGTATCTACAACCCTAGTGCCGATCTGATGCCCAGTTGTCCCCCACACTCTGTCGGAATGGGTGACATCGACTGGACGGATGGGTTCACGTAGATTGGATGGGTGGCTTGGCTTCAGATAAAATTCTCCGCTAGTTCACCGTAGGGCAGATCATTGCAAGGCTTGGGGGCAAGGCAGACAGACGCGAGCAGACAACTGGCAGTGAAACGCCCTGTTGCACTCAGTCACCATCTTTTGCATTCACAAGATAGCAGATCCTTGGCCCGTCCTAGGTCTATCCTAGCCTTGAGGACCGGATAGAGCCTGCCGGCAGTCGTTCATTGGACCCCCGCCCGTGTCAAAGCCCAAATGCTCCACTCGGGGTTACCCGCGCAGCGTAACGGCGCAAGGGCGTTAATTTGGGTATGAATCGGTCTCGGTCTCGGTATCGCTGGATAGTGTGGGAGAGTTCCATCGACCGGCTGTGCAACAGTGTAATACACCAAACACGAATGATTTGGCTGTCAATCGTTGCACTGATCTGCCAGAGTTGTGCGGCCTGATCTTGTTTTAGACTAAAACGTCGTCATGACAAATGACTCGGCCTCAACATAGGGGTTTACTTTAATAGTCCATCAGCGACGCAAGATCATGGTTAAATCAGCCGACAATTCAGCATCATCTCGAGCCAAGTTGACAACAACAGCATCATCATCGAACCAGACACCCAAGAGCGCAACTTGCTAATTCGGACATAACATCGTCTACGCAAAGTCAATCTTCAATTCTCCGATTTGGTTTCGATACCGAACGCACCAATCACAACCCGTAACCCTGCCAGCAACGGAAATTCTTCAACATGGCCGAAGCCGCAGCCCATAACTTCCCTCCCGTCTCTAGAGAGGTCGTCAACTTGGCGATTGCTGAGCTAGTTCTCTACGGTCTCATGTTCCCCGCCGCAGTATGGATCACCTGGAAGCACGGAAAGAAGGGCATGGTCTGCTGGCCCATTTTTGTCTCTCACTTCGGTATGAGATTTATTGCCGATATTCATCAAGTCATCAAACGGGATGAACCATTGCTCCCGAATCAGTTCAACATTATGACGAGCGCCGGCAGCTTGGCTTGTCTGTCATTGACCCTGATTGGCATTGTTTACGAAGCGTGAGACAATCCGCAATTGTCTGCGGTCGATGAGATCGACTAACTCGAGTGTGTTTTGTAGCAACATCATCCTTCCTGGATCACGGAAGCGATGGACCGAGAAGATCATTTTGGGCGTCACCCATCTCACGAACACTGCGGGTATCGGCATGGCAACCTACGGAGGATCCCCGAGTCACGAAGGCGGCCTTATCAACAATAGCTTGAACCAAATTGGTAACTGCTTGGAGCTCTTCGTCATGTTCGCCGTCTTCGCCTGGCTGTGGCCCACCTACAAGAAGATCCGATCCTCATCCAGCCCCAACTGCCGCCCCGCGATGCTCATGATCCGCGCTGCTGTCGTCGGTCTGCCCTTCCAGCTGATCCACTTGGCTTACACCACGACCTACGCCTTCAACCAAATCTCCAGCCTCGACCCCATCATGGGATCTTTCGCGACGAAGCTTGTCCTGATCTTCGGCACATACCTCGGTGTCACAATTGCCATGCTCGCAGGAGGCTGGCTCGGCATGAGCGCCGACATGCCCAAGGCCGTGCAGGTAGAACTCACCTCCAACGATGTCGAAGGCAACAACAATCTTGTGCGTGACGACATTTCTTTGACCCGGGACTGGAGCAGAGACGACATTGCCAGAGCGAAGCAGGGCTTCGTCTAAAGCATTGTAAAAAGCTTGGCGTTCGTCGTTTCCTTTGGACTTTTTCTGAGAGACTTTTTCCATTGCATTGCGTAGCGAAAGAAAACGAACCAACGGGTCAGGAGACTGACGACTTTTCGGGCCTCAGGAAGATGAAGATTCAGCTCAGACCGGAAGATTCCGACTTGGACGACGAACCCAATCGAGAAAGGGAGCTAGGGCCTGGGAGACTTCTATCAGCGACAACAGGGATTAGTGCTTTGAGGCAGGACGTGCAGGACACGGGAAACTGCACTCGAGTGCCGGATAGGTCTGGTTTTGGATTTGTTATTTGGATTGGGTGGGGGATCTTCCAGACAGTTTCTTTCCCAGTTGGCTTTACGGTTGATGGTTCTCTGCGTCGTTTGTTCCTTCCGCATATAGAGTGTACTATAAGCCATTTTCTTAGCGTCTCAACTTCTTTCATTTGTGGCTTATGGTATTATTCTGTTGAACTCGAATTACCTGTGATTCCACGATAACTACCCTTTTAGTGAGATCTGACTGCTCAAAACGTGAAAACGAACAAGATTGTTCTCTCGCATGGATTAAATACGATGGAGGTATTTAACAGCTAGGAAACAAAAGAAAACAGACAGCGTCGAGAATTGGCGAAAGGGGTGACTGTGCGTGATGGTGGTCACAAATGATACCTCAAGACGTTTCACGTTTGGATGTCATTGCAGCAGATTTGTTGGATTTCCATAAGTTCCATAATTTTGCAGTAGCAGAAGAAAAGAGGGTTCAGCTTCGTTCCCTTTGAGTATAAGGAAGACCAGGCAAAGCCTTGAGTCCAGCTGCCCTTCCTGCCTCTGGACTTTTAGACTGGAAGACAAGTTCTCGACGGCGTGGTTCCATGTTCGACTGCCTCAAACGAAAAGGCAGGGTCAACGGTCTAGTGTTACCTACTATGGCTCCGGAAAGCCAATCGCGATCTCCTGGTTATAAATGGTATTTCATCAGAGAATAGAGAAATAGTTCTGGAAATTGTGTCATTCATTCCTGCCAAAGGATCTGAGTATACCATGGCTGTGAATAAAGCACGTGTTTACGATTGGTCTCATGAGGTCTTGCAACTTGTAATTAGGTACGTACCACAAGCTTATGTTTGAAACCCAGTATTTAGTCTCCGCCCGATTATTTCAGTCGGAAACGATTCCATGAAGCATCAAATACGACATGGAGACTCTATCTATCATCGTCTAGTCTTGTCTCAGTCGCCCAGGCTCTTCCTGGAGTAGTTTCTTTCCGGATACCTTAAACGATATAAGCCACAAGAGAAGTATGATGGCAAATTGTGAAAGAAGCATGTAAGGAAACACCTGAAGACCTGCTACCTGTGTGATAGCGCCGAGCATGTATGGAATTATGCCACCACCGATTTGACCGAGAGAAGCCACGAACGATACCGCACCAACATGCAGCTCTTTCGGTAGGTAATGGACGAACTCGACGATACAGGATGGAAATAGCGGACCCATGACGAAACCGAGCAGAGCCATCGACAGTACTGAGACCCAGAGAACCTGGACTATCATGAAAAGCACCACGATGGCGGGAGCGAGTACCAAATAGATGATGACTGCTCGTCGGGGAGTCAACTTCTCTGTGACGGCCCCCAAAGCGAGTCGTCCGACTGCCATACCTGCCCAAAAGCCCGAGGAGCAGATGCTCGAGGCGTAGGTGCTGGCATGGCGGACGCGGAGCATGAACGCAACAGCCCAGCCGGAGACAGTGCACTCGGTGCCCACGTATGCCAAAAGGTAGGCAGCGTATATCCAGGTCGCGGTGTATCGGAAGATGGCTCGCTGGTCGACTCCGTCTTCGGGGTTCGCCTGCTTCCTCTTTTTCTCATGGTATCTCGCAGCAGTTTCGTGCCTGAATGCTAATGGCAAAAGGACAACTTCTACAGCGGATGCAATAGCCTGAAAGCATGTCAGTAAACCAAACACTTAACTATATTCCAAGCATATTGTTGCATAACTTACCAAAACGTAGAACCATTGATACCACTGTCCGTCATTCGCTGACAGCATGACGCCTGCGATATAGGGGGCCATAGCAGCTCCGATAGAGAACGAGCCATGCAACAGACCCGATAGGGTGTTTGCGTTGTTTAGTGCAGCAACCCAAGCACACCAGGATCCATCAACTATTCCCACTCCGAAGGAACCAATAGTCACTCCTAAGAGAAACAATAGGAACGGCGGATGAAAGGAGCCTATTACTGCGTATACCAGGTGGCATGCGGGGCCTATGAAAGCGATTCCGCGTTGCCCGAGTTTCTCATGAATGCGGCTGTTGTAAAGCGAGGCTAAGCAGTAGCCAACTGGTCCAACGAGGAAGATAGCGGATACTTGGATGTCGTTGAGTTGGTAATATGTTTGCTGGTGTGGTAGTGTAACTCCGATGGTGGCCACCATGAGACCAGCAACTACGAAGGAGTAAGCTGCAGCGGCAAGCTTCAGCGCGACGGCTTCCTGGGCTTGTCCGTTGATAGATAGATGTGCCCCGGACTCAATGTTTGAATCTGCACCTCCAGTGCCAAGTAATTGTTCTGATTCCATTGCATCGTTAAAGTCGGATGATATCATAGGAGGTGCCATGATTTGAGGCGTTGTGAGGACCGTAAACGAAGAGCATCAAATTTGAGCTCCCTGGGCCATGACATTGGGGTAAGTTGACGGCCTGGAATGGAGGATGTCGGTGATTATTAACGGTTTCAGGGCCCGAGAGCTGACAGCGACAAGCTCTCGGCAAAGCCTCGGATGATCATCTAGACGTTTCCTTTTTAGGAACATGTTCCAACTCGCCAGGGAGCTTGCGCTTCGCGACAAGGTTTAAATAACAGAGTGTGGGCGCTTAGTGTCTTCCGCCCAGACTCAACCTCACACCTCCAAGTTGGCCCGATGAATAGCCTTGTTGTTCTACCGCAGACGTCTCCTGAATTCGGAATGCAGGATAATCACCGTGTAGTTATATCAGTTCAGTTTAGATTGTCAAGTTGTTCATCACCGTCAATGTATTTTGTATCCTGACGCCTGGGATTTAGGTTTAAAGTATCCAACATTGTCATTATTATTGGAATTTAAAGGAGAGAAAGGAATGAGACTTGCGTGCCGGTGTTGCATAAGTCCGGCGCTCTTTAGTCCTACTCGCGACGGGTCCAACGGATGAGCGCAGGCTGAACTGGGCGCGCAAACATGGATGTGTGATCCGTCGGCGGCACGATGCCTGTTCTCCCATCCACGGTGCTCAGTTTGAAGTTACGCACAATAGTGCCGACAATGACGCCCAAGTTCAAATAAGCAAACTTTTCGCCGATGCAACGGTGTCGCCCAGCGCCGAACGGGATATAAGGACTCCTTGTGCCCTTTGAAACAGCACCATATCCGTAGTCTACAACATCGTTGGCGTCAACAACGTCATCGCCGGGCTGTGGCTCATCCCATCTATGAGGATTCCAGGCTTTTGCGTCTGGGAAAAACTCATCGCTTATGGCAGTCACCATTGGCGAAGCCAGCAGCACCTTATCAGTGCCGACCACGTAAGGACTTCCGGGGATGGTCAGAGGACTCTTTACTTTGCGGAGGATGGAATGAATGGAGCCATGGAGGCGAAGCGTCTCTTTGACGACGTTGTGCAGAAGTGGGAGCTTATCTAGGTCAGAGTATTGCATCGGTGGCAGTCGTTGTTGGTCTCCATGGCCAAGGTTCTGCACTTGTTCTTGATAGAGCTCTTGCGCGATGTCGGGATGCGCGGCTAGGCGAAGCATGATCCATGCACTGGCTGAAGATGATGAGTGCTGACCTCCCATGAGGAGCGTAATCATCATGCATGCCACTTCTTTATCGGGCACCGGTGTTCCGTCCTTGTAATTGGAGTTCATGAGATTCCAGAGCATATCGTACTCGTCATCGGCATCGAGGTCGTGTTTGCGACGTTGGATAATGATGTCCTCGTAGACGTCTCGCATCCTGTTGTGCGCAGCATCGCGACGGCGGTTTCGGGGTAGAGGTAGCCAGGGAAAGAGGAAGTTGATCGGGGTGAATCCCTTAGTGGCGAGACTGTCAGTATCATCCGTGCATCTTAAGATATGGGGGATATCTACCATGTCCAGGTCGTGGTACAGCTCCGCAAACTCAGCCGTCAGCTTTCGTCTGACCTCCTCTCCCTGCAGTGAACGCGCTGCCGTGAACAGTGTAATCTCAGACATGGCGGCAGAGATGTCAACAATACCCGACGCACCCTTCCACGCAGGTTTCATCTTGATGTAATCGACAACTTCCTTCTCAATCAAGGGAACATGGGACTCCAGAGCCTTTTGTGTCAGTCCAAACTTGACAAACTTCTTCTGTTCCATCAACTTCGAGTTGGGGCAGTCGTAGATAACATCCTTCCCGAAGACAGGTATCGTAAGCGGTCCGTAAATCTCCTCGGCGTTGATGTCCTGAAGCTTTCCGTTGAGAATGAAGTCGTTTCCCTCGATTCCCAGATAGCAGGTCATTTTCCTGCCGAAAAGAGTGAAAGTAAAAACATCACCATACTGACCCAACATTAGCCAAATGATTCTGAGGAGCTTTGGTAGCTCCTTCGCGAGATTGCAGCAGAACACACCTTTGCACGGTACTTGGCGAAGAAAGCCACGGGATCCATGCCGTAAGAGATGGCATTGCCAATGTAGGGGATCCAATGAAACACAACCGGTGGTTCACTCTTGCTGTGGAAAAATGTCTGACGGCAAGCATTGAGTAAAACTGACGCGGCTAATCCAACGAAGCCATAAATGGCAATAAGGGCCAAACCCGACAGGCCCAAGAACCCTAGAGAATCTGCCATTCCAGCTGACTGAGCTTTGTGAGATCAATAACTTGCAGAATACTCGAAAAGATTTTCAAGTTAGAAAAAGAGGAGGACTATGTTTGAGCTGACACAAAACACCACAATATCAACTTAGATCAGGTAAGCATTGGGGAGACCATTATATTTGTGTAAGATTCATATGCAGGCAGTGGCAGATAGGCAGATATTCAAATCTCCGTTGGCGATTTGGGACCAAGTCTGGGAACATCTCAATTGACCTCTCGAATTCGTATTCGTTTGGACCTACAGGCCTTCGAGGTGTCAGTAACGGCGATGTCCACATCGAATTTCTTGCGTTCGGTACCCTGAGCCTGGACCTATTAGGTGGTTCGTATTCGTATTGTGGTACGTACCTAACCTCATTGAGAAGCCAGTTGAGACCAATGGGCCCAAAAATAAGCACTAGAAACTCGCTTTGGTCTTTGGGAACGAACGTCTTTATTGATAAATGCACAATCGACGCAATTTATAAACCTCGTACGGCGACGGTGGGGTCTAGTCGCCATCGTTGAGACTGAGCTCCCTGACTTGTAGAAGGGACCCTTCTACCTCTGAAGTACCTTACCCTTACATCCGTTCTTTTCTCAGGATACTTGCAAGCCAGGTATTTATCCCATCGGGTGCTGCTTGACCACATTTTTGCCAAGCCCGAAAATACCTAATATGTACCCACTTTTACTCCGCATTTAAAGGGATACATAATAATACGTCATATAGTTACCCCTATGATTTCTAACCTACTTTCACTAGTGTTGGGCAGCGATTATCAGGTAGGGGGTCAATGGGATGTATTGATGAGTATGAAGAACGAGTGGCTATGGGAATATCCCGACTATCTATATAGTGAGTGGAAGACCCTTTATACTGGCATATCCTTGGCAAACTTAGTCATGCTTGTGTAAGACCATATTGTTTCATAGGCATGGTGTGACAATCGTTGTAACGAGTGTACTGGGATGGGCCTGACAACTAGTTATTAAAACCACTATTTTGGTTAATGCTATGATGTCTTCTAGCGATTCTGGTGTGTTACGACCCAACATGCATGACCAAGAACAAGGCCTGCCCCGCAGGCTCGCGGCGGCTACAGCGCAGCATATATGATGATGATGATGATGATGTATTTAACGTCTGGTAACAAAAGGACGTGCCGGGCGCTATGCCGACATGGTCTATACTAATCTAAACTATATTACAGGCTACCGTCTTCACCTAACGTTCCTGTTCAATGACTCGGGCAAATATGCAGAGGATAAGGAACACTAGGCACCCTCTCACGGAACGGAAGAACTATGGACAAGTCACGTGATGATAAGAGATAAAATATAAGGATAAGGATATGTTGGATATGAGTTATCCAAGCGATCCTTGGATAACCAGGATATGAGCTATCCAACATATCCAAGCAAGAACACTGTCCAGCACAAAGGACACGTTCAGAATCAGGACTTGTATATAGGATGGACTTGAGCCGGACTCTAGGACAGACTTCCCATAGCTTCTTCAGCAATTAACTTCGTATCAGATCTTATGATCGCTTTCAGCTATCTTCCCTGAGAACCTCTTTGTTTGTTTGTGTTGGTATTCCTTTCACAGGGAATTTGGTTCGAACCGTAGGGTCCTGGGGGTGACGAAGTATCAATATCTCTGTATTGATTGATTCTACGTAAGGAGTAGAAGGGAGATTCCAACCGGAGGTTGGGTGGGTAGTCGATGTCTAAGTGTACCACCTCGAGGTGGCCCATGCTCTGCCCCTACTCGCGGCCGAATTGGACTTCCAATCCGACAGTTTGTTTGTTTTATATTTAACGCCATGACGGCAAGGGCGCAGCCGCCCTTGCGGCAGACCTCCCGGAGGGTATGTGGCGTGAAGGGTCGCAGGCTCTAGCTATATACTATATAGTACACGCCGTATCCTGACGTCCTCCAAATCTTGCTCGTGAGCTACTATGTGTTCTATCCATCCCTAGTTCCCACTGGTGCCCTAGTTCCGTTATAACCATCTGGTTTCTTAATAGAGGTAGTTTGTCGTTTGGAAGATAGGTTATGACCTATCTCCTAGTACCGCGGGCAGATCTTCTGGAAGAAGTCTGTCACGTAGAGGAAGGCCTGGAAACCTTCAGAGTCAGTGATTAACCCCTTGAAGTAGCGATCGAGGGACCCTATAGGTCCTACGGGCTCCTGGCGGCTGTAGGGGTAGAGGGTGGGCCACTGTTGCCTCCTCAGTAGGGTCTTTCGGCAGTAGACTAGATGGTCTGCCTCCTTAACCTAACTAGGGAATCTAGATTATTAACCTACTGGTCGACCTAGTAGTAAAAGGAGGACCCTATTTACCTATTCATACGGTTTATATCCCGGGACCGTTTCTAATTACTACTCTAGCGACTACGGATATTTAATACTGCTGAATTCTAGCCTAGTCAGGGCCGGGGTCGAGGCCGGGGCCAAAATCAAATGCTAGATGTATACCGGAAGGTTAACCAGTGGTTATCCTATATTTAAGAGACTGGGGATTCCCTTTATATACCTGGTTCCGACCTTATAGTTGACGAGGTTATGGTACGATTTATAGGTCGATCTCTGGAGACGATAACGATTCTAATAAAACCTATCCTAACCGGCTATAAGATCTGGATCCTTGCCTAGTCTGGCTACTGTTTACGGCGGCTGTGGCACGTACATGGAAAGGGCCCATACGCATTAGTCCCCTAGGCCCAGCCTACCTAGCCAGCTACTAGAAAGCTAGCTCTATTGACACCGACGTAGCAGGTAGTAACTACCCTTATTTCCCTTCTTCCAGCTGCAACCTACCACGTGTTTCTGGATAACCTCTTCGCCTCTATACGTCTCTTTCGTACCCTGCGGAATCAACAGGTTGGAGCTTCTAGTACCTGCCGGAAGGATAGTGGGATAGATGAGATCCTAGTTGCTGAGAAAGAGACTGAAGGACGGGGTATCCCCTGGGGGGAAATACAATGTATCCTAACTTTAGATGGAGAGGTAAGCTATCAGCCAGCCAGCCTAGCCCTGTCCTACCTTGCCTAGTCTAGTCAGCCTACCTATCTAACTAGCAAATAGGTCAACCAGTTCACCTGGAAGGATAATGCCCTTGTACTCTTCCTGTCAACTGTCTTCCAGGACGGCCAGGAAGTTATCCGCAGCCGCCGCCGCCCAGCTAGGGATTCCGCTGCTAAGAAGGCTGCCCGACAAGTGTTTGGCTCAGACGTCCGTAAGAACCTTCTAGTGCCTAGGGCAATCGATGAGTATAACCATAAGATGAATGGGGTTGATACAAGTGACCAGATGAGGTCCTATTATCAATATGGTCACCCTATTCGTCGAGGGGGCTGGCAGTCAATTGCGTGGAATTTCCTGCTAGAAGTGGTAGTTGTGAATAGCTTCCTACTGCAGCTTTGGGGCAGCCCTAGATGGTAGAAGGTGAAATCACATTACTAATAGCGGTAACTGCTTGTAGCCTAGCTTATTCAGCAGTTCGGACTATTAGTATAAGGGCGGCAGAGGTCACGGCCTAACCGGGCTATAGATAAGAGGAATACCTCTATTCTATGGGAACAACATAGAAAGGGGTCGAGGAAGGTTAATTCGCCTTACTCTTATTATAATAATCTACGGGTAACATGAGCCCGCTAGACCCTAGGTGAGATATCTAGGAATAACCTCGCTCAAAAAAACAAAACACGGAAGGGCTGCTTGGACTATAATGTACCGTTATGTATTAATAGAGATTGCTGGTACCTCTGGTATATGCAGAATCTATAGGCGATAGAAGTATTGCACCCCTATTGGTTAACTCAATAGATTCACAACCCCTTATTGGCTCTACCCCGCCCTTGGCGAAAATGGGGTCAAGCAGCACCCGATGGGCTAATGCAAGTCTCTTTCTCTTTCTCCGTCTTGAGCTCGTTGCTTTTTTAACGTCTCTACTCTTTTTGACAGTATTTCCAATACCGGGCTACACTCGCTGCACGAATCTGCCGTCCCCATTTGGTCATGGCAAAGTAGGACGATATCTGTGCCAGGGCAGCAAACGCAGCAACTAGAAATGCGTTTTGATACCCCATGTTTTCTACCCAAGGGGTTATACTGATACCTCCAGTCAGCAGAGTACGTCTTTACCGAGAAATGAAAAACGGCTCACCCATAGGAAACAGCAAAAGACATGGTGTTGCGGATTAGGATGACGGTGACAATGGCGTCTTCGCCCAACTCCTTATAGCAGTCAATGCAATAGCTGATTGAAAGCTGGCTGCCGGCAGTGATGGCGGCACCGAAGACTCCCATTGCAAAAACTAGGCCAAACCAGTGGATTTCATGCGCAGCCCCAACTCCCCAGAGAAGAAGTGCACCTGGGATGCAGATCAACAGCCCCGTGAAGAGCCACAAACGGAACTCAGGTTCCATGATTCCGTTGTTACGGCGCGCTTTCCAGATGACAAACTTGTCGCCGAAGAGTCCGGAGTACACTGTTCTATAAAAATGAGTTAGACTATGGGTCATAGCGCGAGAGTGTATCAAACCTTGCTTACCCAATGCCGACTCCGATCAAACAGGATATGTACGATAGTCCAACAATGCTTGACTTAAAGTTGTAAGGCGAGCTCGATAAGATCAAAGATGCAGTTCCGTTCAAAACGTTGAAATAACAAACGACAGCTCCATACATGAAGCCGGCGAATACGATTGATGGGAATTGAAAGTAAAGAAATGGTCTAACCACCATTTCTACAAGTGAGGCGTGGTGGTTGATGTCTTTGTTTCCGAACATTTTGAGCTTGTCGAGGTACGTCTTTTTCGTCATTATCAGTTCAGGGCTGGGGGGCGTCTGGACAGGGACGACTCGATCCGAGTCGGATGGATCTTTGGACCCTTTCTCGAGTGCTGATGATGTGTAGTCTACTTGATAGGGTTCCGCTGTCAACACGTCCGTGCGCTGATAGTTGGTCTCTTCCATAAAGAAGAAACATATGACGAAGCCAGCTCCGCAGAATATGGCACACCAGTGCTGGATTTCCAAGTTAGGACTAGGAGCAAATGCAACCCCCGAACTCGAATACTTACTAGAACCCATTCCCAGCCTTGGCCGTCATTCACGAATCCGGCAATGACTGGTGCAAGGAAGTTACTCCCCACTAAGAACAGGGCATAAAAGCCCATGTAAGTACCTCTCTCGTGTGTGAACCACTGTTTCATATTGTGAGTCGAGATTCAGAAAGCAAAAAGTTTAATACGAACGGTTTACATACCACGTCAGCAATGGAGATCTCGCAAAGAGACTCTATAGGGGCCCCGATCCATCCCTGCAAAATTTTGTTCGCAATCCAATTACTGCTGGTGGTAGCATATGGAGCCCACAGCATGATGGCCTACCAATGTCATCAGCCCGAATTCTTATAATCAACTGGCATGGCGAAAACTGACCATGCTCCCCAACAGAGTAAACAGGTACACGGGCCGTTTGCCGAACTTCTGGGCAAGTGGTTGCCATACCAGACAACCCCAGCCAAATGCCAGAAACATGTACCCAGTTCCGGAGTTCAAGTCTGCGAGGGTCAGACCGGTCGCGGTGGATATCGGCACGAGAACAGAGTAGATCGCGGCCGATGCGATGCCCACTGCGAGGCAGTACCTGCAAGACAGCGCCATTGAGTTAGCTTGGAAGAAAGCTTGCAGATGTATCGTCCAGTGGTCCACTGGAATTGACTTACACGCAAATGCATGCTAGAAGCTGATATTTCCTACGAGGGCTCCAATTCAATGGGTCATCAGGGTCATTCGATGGTGTTGGAATCAAGACAATGTCTCTTCCACTGCCCTCAGCATGCCGTGAGGCCATCGTACCCTCAAGATCAACCAAGTGGATCGTTCCGGGGATAAAGCCCGGCGGCGGTGCCATTCCGACCGTTTCGGAGCCCATGTTTGATTTTGAAAGTGCTCTAGTAATGTTTGTGGGTTAACAGAGGTGGTCCGTCGGGCATATAGTCAACCAAAGAGTTGCGAGAAGGGGGTAATCGTTGTTGAGATGTAGAAGAGATAAATGGCTCTATCTATCTTCCACTCAGAAGTTGATAGCAATGATGAGAGTGAAGCCGAGAAGCAATTCCGGAACGACCAGATGATATCAGACTTTGAGCGCATGCTCCGAGCTTCTGTGCGACAAGATAGGCATTCTGTTGATAAAGCACACGGGAAAGCACGTTAGAGGTAGACTCGACGGCCGCAACTCTTTTGTATGGGGCCAATCATATGCAATTACGAACTTATCTCATATGGGTCGGCTCTTGAGTCTGGGGTAATCTCCACCAAATGAGTGACTTAACTAACAATGGGGTAAATGGACTTGATCACTACGCACGCAGCAACTCTGCTGCCCACGGCATCGTCGTAGTAACACCGCGACAGGGTTACAGATACACCGGAAGATGAGTGTGAGGATAAATTCTGCCACGGTCGTCTGCTACCTTGACAACAAACAGCAGATTATGACATGCATGAAGCTTGTGTGGATAAGCAAGTAGCCAATGATCGAGAATTACGAGAGCTCGGCACCGGCTGATTGCTGTTAAATGCCGTGAGCTAGCCAATCATTTGTATTAGCGAAGGAGCGAGGAGCCAACTCTGATAAGGCACTTATCACACCCGTCCTCTTATTGGGATGACAATCCATCTCTTGAGGGAACACTAATAGCAACAGAGCATTCGTGCGACAGGGACAGAATATTCCAAGATCGGCAGAGCATTTCGAGGGAAGTTCTCCCACTGCGATATCTCAGAGAGGAGTCCTGGTCTCCTGTCTATCTGTTTCAATGATGTATTTCCCTTGAGCCGGGGGGGGGGGCAGAGCTGCATTGATGAGGGGAACCTACTTCCGGACTCAAATAGATTGTGCACGCTGTCGTCACAATCCGCCGCGATAAGTCGTCGGCCGATGTGCCTGTGAAGTTGGAAAAGTTCCAAGCTCCAGGCAACACGGGATGGTCGGGTTGTTAATTACCCCTCCCTCGTTGAAATAGGAGCATTGATAAAACCATCATCCCAAGTGCATCTAACGTAGACAATTGACATGGCATTGAATCCCTTTATTTCCCTATTTCCCGTTTTCTTATTATCAACATCGACTTCCATCTGTCCAGCCTACTAGGTATTCATCACGCATCATGGGCTCACTTGCACCGGCTTCGTGGGAACTCAAGGCCGACAAGCTAAGGAAGATCCTCGAAGACTCTCTCAACCCGAAATGGCTCTTGGCCCCGGAAGACCTGCCTCCCCCAAGCCAGCTGAACATCTCCAAGTTCATTGACACATGCAAGCTATTGACCCCACGGGAGCAGGAGATCACAGCATGCAACGGCACCGAGCTAGTCAGCCAGATGGCCGCTGGCAAGCTTACCGCCGTTGAGACAGTGACGGCCTTCCTCAAGCGCGCTCATGTGGCTCATCAGCTGACCAACTTCGCGACCGAGTTCCTGGTCGATGACGCGTTAGCTACTGCTGCGAAGCTTGATGCTCAATTTAAGGAGACTGGAAAGATTGTTGGGCCGCTACACGGTCTGCCAATATCCATCAAAGAGCATATCGGACTCAAAGGCAAAATTGTGCATTCGGCCTACGTGGCTTGGGCTGACAACATTGCCCAAGAAGACGCTCTAGTCCTTCGGCTGGCTGCTAAGGCTGGGGCTGTCTTCCATGTCCGCACAAACGTGCCGCAGAGTTGCATGGTGAGCCAACTCTTTCATGAAATCCCGAGACAACTGGACTAATTGTCTCTGTTACAGCACCTCGACTGCAGCAATCCCATCTACGGCACAACGGTCAACCCCTACAATCGCAACCTCACATCGGGCGGCTCCAGCGGTGGCGAAGGAGCGTGCCTCGGGCTCCGTGGCTCTGTCTTGGGACTCGGAACCGATATCGGGGGTTCTGTGCGTGGGCCAGCGGCCTTCTGCGGCTGCTATGGCCTTCGCACGACGGCTCTGCGCAATCCTTACAAGGGTATCTGCCTACCAGGCCTAGGCCAAGAGAGCATCAAGTGTATCTTAGGCCCGTTGGCGAACAGCATTTCCGACATTCAGCTTTTCGAAGATATTGTCCTCAACCAAGAGCCTTGGGACGAAGAAACAGCTTTGGTTCCTTTGCCTTGGAAGAAGATGGAGCCGTACCAGCCAGGTCAGTTCACCGTTGGTGTTATCTGGGACGACGGGTAAGTGATTCCTAGTTCAACCACTTCCAGAATATCGAGTGAAAGCTGACGTTAGCTTTTCAGAATGGTCCATCCCCACCCCCAGTCATCCGTGGCCTCAAGCACGCCATCGACAAGCTCAAGACAGCTGGGGTGAAAGTCGTAGACTTTGAGCCGTACAAGCACAGTGAAGGCGCGGAGATAATTGAGCTTCTTTACTTCCCAGACGCGGCTGAGACACAGAAGGAAGTCCTTGCACAAGGAGGCGAGCCAGTAGCACCATTAACGGAGTGGGCGTTCCAATACTCAAAGCCGGAGCCGCTCACCATCAGAGAAAACTGGGAACTGAATCTACGAAGAGAAGCTTTCCGTGAAGAGTAAGAACCACTATCCTCGTTCGCTTGACTGGCAACTGATATCGCCGCCACTTAGGTATCACAAGACGATGAAAGATCGCGGCGTCGATTTCATCCTGTGCCCCGCCTATGTAGGTGTTGCTGCGAAATGTGGCACACCTCAATACTGGCATTACACGACAATTTGGAATATCCTTGACCAGCCAAGCATTACCTTCCCGACTGGTCTTCATGTCGATCCTGCTGTTGACGTGGTTGATAAAGACTACAAGCCACGCTCAGACACCGACGAGAGAGAGTATAAGAAATGTAAGTTTACATGAATTTCAGATGTTTGAGTCTACTGACGTATTTTGAAATCTAGATATACCGGAAGAGTTCGTAGATGCCCCAATTGCCCTGCAGCTCGCTGGAAAGCATTTCCGTGATGAAGAGACAGTGGCCGCAGCAGATCTGGTGACAAAGATCATTCAAAGCTGAAAGAACTCTGACTGCGAAGGGCGTCTCAAATCGTTTGACGTTCTTGAACCCCTGGGCAGTGGTTGAATAGCATAGTTGGGAGTTCGTTTCCTATCAAGGCGGAGAAAATGGCACTATTTCCGAAGCTCGTTCCCTGCATGTGTGTAAAATTACCCAAGATCCTCGCACAACTATTTAAACTCGGTACTCGCCGTTCAATGAAGACCAATTCCATGTTCAACAGATTAGGTGATGGGTATTTCCAACTCGTTCACCACCCAAGATCACTGAAGGAAGCAAACTCATGTATACCGGGTTGACAAGTGAATCTCAGTTTGATTCGCGAAGATGTTAAATGTAGTCATGAGTCTATAATTCAATCGAAATCTTCAGCATTGATGGTAGAAAGAACAATTGGTCTCTTAATCACATTCACAGTAGATCTCACCACCACCCAGCTCAATCAACTGGCTAGGATCTTGCTTCTAGATACAAGCAACTTGACCCCGCAATAGACTGGTGCTCCAAGCTCCCGGACGATAAGCCGACCCACCAGGGATGTTGGGATGATGCTCATGCGGGGTTGCGGATTCCATGCCCCTGATAAGACACGCGGATCCTGCGCAGTCCCCTTCTCAATGTGACTTTGTCTCGCAACTGGCATACTTCTGATTCCATGTCGTCTCAGACCGATTGCAGGAATTGGCTCATTCATCACACACCATAAGGGCTTCACAATGCCGAAAGCCAAGTTGCGGACGAAAACTGGATGCTCTACCTGTCAGTCCATGCCAACGACATTAGTCTTGATGCTAATGAATAACAGGCAGAAAGCGTAGAGTGAAATGCAGCGAGGAAAAGCCGACATGTCGAAACTGCGTTGCTTCAAGTCGCGGGTGTTTATGGCCATCTTCCAACGACATGTACGACAGACGTCATCGCTCTCGTCGATCTTGCTCCGATGATAGGACCCTGCCATCGCCGTCTCCACGCAGCGAAGACTCCATCATCGCTTTGGAGCTAAGAGAGTCACCGGATCTCGAACAGGAGCTTACTCACCACTATTTCAACGTTTTTCTCTCAGTACTGTTACTCCCCACAGTCAGGGAGAGTGACTTGGAAGGCTATGGGTCGCAGGTGATGAGTATGATGCATCGCTCGGAAAGCGTCAAGTGCGCCGTCCTGGCTGCATGCGCCTCCAATAAGTACATGCTTCTGAGGTCAAGGAAGTATCATGACGCGGGATTGGGTTACTATTTCCGCGCCGTGGAACTGGTCAACCGAGCTCTTCATGACTTGGGTGCAACCGCCAAGGGCCCGGACGATCCCCTACTGACCACTGTTGTATATCTCTACTTATATGATGTAAGAACTCCGAGATTATTATGTCTCGAATCCCAGGCTGATGTTGTTGTCTGATAGATGTGGGGGCCGCCCGACGAGACTCTGGACGCAAGAAAGCATGTCGACGGCGCCATGAATCTGCTTAAGCTCCGATATGAGGACACTGGCTCACCCATGTCGATGTCGCGCCCATTACATCGAATCAATACCGAGAGCGTGCTTTATCAAGCATTTCTGCTTGCAATGAGAAAGCCATTCGCGCCCAACTTCCATGTGGATGAACAGTTCCTAGATCGATCTGAACATGTCCTGAACGCAAGGAAGCTCATCGACATATTATCCGAAGATGATAGCCCTGTATTAGGCTTACCATTGCCACTGTACCGTCTGATAATAGACCTCATTGACTTTCTCAACTCACCCAAGCATCCCACTGAGGCTTTCCTTACCCAGATGAGAGAAGAGATTGATACATGGGAAGGCTTTGTCTTGGTCGAAGATACAGCAGCCAAGTGCCCTCCGTCCATGACAAGCTTTCACAAAGATGCTGCAACACTTTTTGTTTTAGGCGCGTCACTACTGCTAGACTACATCTCGGAGTCCTCTTCTTCTATGTCCTCGTCAGCGACTCAGGACCCAAACATTTCTCACGTCAGCTGGAGCCCACCGCAAGAGATATCAAACGTTCCTAGGTGGCAAGTGCAACGTGCATTTGAGATTCTTCGCCGACCAGCTGCGTACGAAACTTGGACTCGATGCTTCTTGGGAGCTTGGCCGATGTTGATCCTGGGGTACTCCGTTACCTCATCCGAGGACATCTCACTGATTCGACGTGTTTTGAAGCAGATGGTAGAGCGCATGGGGTACGGAGAGATTCAAAGGATCCTCGACGACCTGGAAGCAGTATGGACTGTACGGGCTGGTCTTACAAGCAAGAATTCGGGTGGGCCTGCAATCAATCGAGAGTCTCTGGGAATTCGTGCTATTGAAAGAACTTGTGTGGTCTGATTATGTGGGGAATAGGCATGGAATGACGAAACCTAGATCAACAGAGATAGTTGTTAGACACTGTTCTGTGTAGACAACGCTAATACCCTATTCATACCAGATGTGCAACAAGAATGGACGACGAGTAATCTCAGGCACTTCCGCGGCCACTCAATGACTTAGGCCTTTAGCATGCGCCTTGGCAACATGCCTCCAATATCTATCCGCACTCTTCTCTCTGATGGTTCTTCCGTACTTGGTCATGATGAAGATACTGGCGTTCCAGACAAACCCAATTGCGCCAACGATGATGTAGGTGTCCCGATAACCCATGTGGTTCAGCCAAGGCGTAATTCCATAGTTGATTGCAAAGGACATGGTGTTGCGAATGATGACGCACGTTGTGATCATGTCACCGCTGAGTTGTGGATACGATGCAATGGCATATCCGAGGGAACCCGCGACAGCGAGGGCGTTGTTGATAGCGAGGGTGAACTGGGAGATGACTAGTCCCATCCAGTGAATGTGGTAGGTCACGCCCAGGCCATATAGGAGCATGCTAAACGGGACCAGAAACATTGATGCAGAGAAGAGCCAGAGCGAGTGCTCAGACTCGGAAATTCCGTTGTTGCGTCGGGCGAGTCGGATTGTGAGCAGGAGACCGACCCTACCACAGTAGTAGCCTCTGCAATTAGAACGTATCAGCAAATGTCTTTCAATTCTTGGGTGTGGTATAGAGAGACTTACCCAACCATGGTACCGAGCAAGCCACCGGAGTAGGCCGCAGCTACACCAGCCGTAGAGAAACCATACATGGTAGTGTAGACAGTGCCAGCCGTGGCATTCTGCACACCCGACCATACCAAGTTGTTGGCACCGTACATAAGACTAATCACGAGTCAGCTTGCATGTCCATCTCGTGGTCTCATGGAAGTTCTCACCCTGCGTAAACGACAGAGGGGTATGTGAAGCCTCTAAGTCCACCCAGCGCAATATCCAACATACGGTTGGGCCTTGGCTTGTCCTTGATACCGAGTTTTTGAATGTACGTCTTGCGGGGATAGATCATCTGTCCGGTTTCGGTATCGACAGGTTTGGTATTTGTCATGTTGTTCTCGCCGGTCTTTTCAGAAGAGTTCTCGTCCGCATCACTTCCGTTGTGTTGCTCTTGAACTCCGGTTGCGTGATCTGGTGCTGTGCTGTCCTCGACTGGCCTCGCGGGACGATCGTAATTGGTCTCCTCCATGAAGAGGAAACAGTAGACGAGAGCAATGCCGTTGAAGATTGAACACCACCACTATGATAGAGAGAAAGGATTAGCCATATGTGGCTTTGGATGCAACTAGCGAGAGGGCATACCAGAGTCCATTTCCAACCCATGCCCACGTTGATGAAGCCTGAAAGCATCGGGGCAAGTTTGCCCGTCATGGAAAGACCCCACCCATAGAGTGCAAGGTACTTGGGGCGCTGGTGCGCAAACCACTGTATGATTGTTAGTAAAGAGTATCCCCCGAGGTCTTCTTAGGTTCTAACAATGTCTGTAATGGAAATTTCGGCCAATGATTCAACGGGGGCGCCAAATAAACCCAGAAGTATGCGATTGGCCAAGTATGTGTGTTTAGTAGTGCACATCGGGGCGGTTGCGAGGATGATCTAAAAGTTCTGCGCATTAGGAATGATACCGTCTTGGATGTTGGGTTCAATGTTTGCTTGAAGGACATACGATATTGGCGATAAGGGACGCAAGGTATGCCGGCCGCTTGCCGTACTGAAGCGCAAATGGTTGCCAGATCAGACATCCCCAGCCATAGAAGAGGAACTAAAGACAGAGTTCCATGTCAGCACTGCATTGGAGGTGGCTTGGAGTCTCCTAACCATGATACCCGTGCCGTTGTTGATGTCGGAAAGCGACAGACCCGTTGCTTTTCTAATTGGGGTGACAACGGAATAAACAGCACTACTTGGGATTGCGATCATGACGGTGTACATCAGGACGCAAGATGTCGCAAGCCATTTTCGCTTCTTTGTCCAGTTCAACGGGTCCTCTGGATCTTCTGACGGCCGGGGAATGAGAACAATATCTGCCTCATCGGATCCGGAGGCATGTTTGCTGATGACGGAGCCGTCCACGTCGATGAGCCTGGTGGTGCCCGGAGGCAGGCCTTGACCATCCGTCTGAGCGGGGTTTGAGTGAGCCATAGAGTCGATCTTTCAAAGTCCCCGCGCAAATGTCGGCTGGCTTGGGAGATAATTGAGATCCAAGGTTATACGGCAGAAGAGCGTCCTTAAAGAGCTGGGAATCATGTGCGACTGCAGCTACTTATCAGCGTCACCCGAGGAGACGTTTGTGTGGTATGACGATCTGAAGGGACATACGGTTCAACTTAATAAAGTGCACGCACCCGCCGCCTGGGTACGGCATTCAGCTATTTCGGTATGAAGCGAACCACTTGTCACGCGAACCTGCATTTGGCCCAGGTGTCAGTTTGCGGGAAGAGTGATAAGACAATCAAGTTCTCAGTCTCGGACATTGACATGGGCGTTCGTATGAGATGGCTGACACTCAAGTTACCCACTGCACGTACTAAGATAACGACGCCAAAGAGGCACACAAACGTGGGACGCCACGCTTCCAAAGAGCTATGGATAACGATAGCAGAACGTCTCCCATGGTTCCGCCGCCTAAAGATATGCGCTTACATCTCCTCGTTCCTGGGTCGTCAACCGCCCGCATAGAGCGGAGCCCCTAAGAACAAGGGTGCTGGATGTACGGAGTAGCACCAGGATGGAGGCTTCAAGACCCACCACAAGACCAAGATGGCAGTCGACAGCGATAGGCGGGGAGTGCTCAATTTGGCGCTATCTGAAGATGGCAGATAGGGAAGACACTATCGTCCAGATAGGTCACTGTGACAACGTGTGTTCTACAATTAGGCAAATGATATTTGTGAAGCCAAGCAGCTGCTTCATGCTGTGCTTTCGTTTTTGGAGTCTTGCTATGAAATGCTGTGCAACGTGACCAAAACTTAGACCGCACCCCCCGACCCCAACCACCCTCAAGTTCGCCCAAAATGGCAATCATCACAATTCCGAAGGGCTGGCGAGAACTCGCACAAGTCTGTATCGACATCCAGCAAAAGTCGGTTCCCAAGGAATATCTACTTTCCAGCGACCAGCTTCCCCCGAAGGATCGTCAAACTGTACTTAGTGTTCCAAGCGAGTCTGGGATCTTGACTGCAGAGGAGATTCGGATGACAGAGCAGGATGCCTCAAGCTTGCTAGAAAAATACAAGAGCGGCCAGTGGACTGTGAAACAAGTTGTCACGGCTTTTCTGAAGAAGGCGACGATAATTCATCAACTGGTACGAGTATTTCACGCGACTTAGGGTTATTGCTAGCTAATAGAGTGTCTTCACGTGCCAGACCAACTTTGCTACCGAGATTCTAGCAGAAGATGCTTTGAAGAAGGCCGACGAGCTTGATGCGCACTTTCAAAAGACAGGCCAGCTGGTCGGCCCTCTTCATGGCATCCCAGTATCAGTTAAGGTAGATTTCGTTTCTCTCGCATCGAGGGGTCTGGTTACTAACTTACGACTTGTAGGAACACATCGGCATGGGTGGCCACATCACTCATGCGGGATTTGTGTCAAAGATCACAAACATCCCGCTCGAAGACGCTCTATCTATTCAGATCTTGAAGAAGGCAGGAGCAGTTATCCATGTTAGAACAAATCAACCTCAAAGTCTCATGGTAAGAATACTTGTCTTCTCTACCTACAACCAACTCAAGAGACCGCAGACAAGCTGACCTTTCTGCTCCACAGCATTTGGACTGTAATAACAACATCACCGGTTTGACTTTGAATCCTCACAACCTTCTATGCTCGCCCGGAGGATCTTCCGGTGGTGAAGGAGTCTCAGTCGGCGCGAAATGCTCAGTGATTGGCGTGGGCACAGACATTGGTGGCAGTATCCGTATTCCCGCCGCTTTCAACGGTTGCTACGGACTTCGCCCGACGGCCTTGCGCGTTCCAAATCTTGGAAACTTTGGTATAACATCTGGTCAAGAGAGTATCCGCGGCGTTGTTGGACCGTTGGGCCAGAGTGTTGAGGATCTGGATCTGTTTATGAGTGCTGTTCTTGCAGCTGAACCATGGGACACTGAGACCATGTTGGTCCCAGTTCCATGGAGACCTGTTAGTCTCAAGAAAGAGATCACGGTGGGAATCATGTTTGACGATGGGTATGTCCGTTCTTTTTGTTTTTCAATGCTGTCTTTGCAACTGACTTAAATGTTTTTCAGTTTCGTTAAGCCGCATCCTCCTGTCTTGCGGGCTCTACATTCGGCTGCGGACAAATTGAAACAAGCTGGGGTCAAAGTGGTAGACTGGAAACCCTACGACCACCAGCGCGGCTGGGAAATAGTAGTAAGTCGCCACTCTTTGCCTGGACTCTCTTCTTTCAAGGAACAGAAACCATAAGGTTCCCCTTGACTAACCGAGGCCAGTCCGCTTTGTACTTTCCCCAAGGGCCGAAGCCATATCTTGATACTTTCGCCGAAAGTGGCGAGCCAGTCCTCCCACTGACTGATCATGCTTTCAAGTTCTCCAAAGCTGAGCCACTCACAGTCGCAGAGAATTGGGACCTGAATTACAGGAGAGAAGCATATAGACGAGACTACCATGCTCTCATGAAACACAAAGGCGTAGATGTCATCCTCTGTCCTGCGTACGTTGGCGCGGGTGTGTTACAGGGTGGTGCCGAGTACTGGAATTACACAGCTATCTGGAACGTGCTCGATCAACCTGCAGCTATTTTGCCGAGCGGACTGAAGGTTGACAAGGCCATTGACAAGCCCGAAGAGGGCTACACACCTCGAAACGATTATGACTCCAAAGAATGGAAAGCCTGTAAGTCACCATCAACGGCGCACTCGAGCTGCATTATTTTTCGGAAACGCTGACGGTGTGGTGCTGTGTAGATGACGCCGACCTTTTCCATGACATGCCTATCTGTTTACAGCTTGTTGGGAAACACTTTCAAGATGAAGAAGTTCTACAGGCAACTAAGCTGGTTGACCGCATCCTCAGGGAATAGATTTCGACTTCTACCTACCTAGTAGATTAGACAGAGAGAGTTGTCCGTGTATCAGCGCACAGTTAGACCGGACGCTAGACTTTCGGCTTGCTTCAGAGGCTTTAATAAATACGTTTTTGCCTTTCGCCATCAACACTTGCCTTCTTGTATTCTCTTGGTATGTGTATACAGAAGGTTTCATGTTATATTTTTGAGTGAATGGCTAGACTGGTGTGAATTACTCTCTCTAAAGCCTCGTACAAAAAGGCGAGGATCATGTCGAGTGAGAGTCTTGACACTAATGCCATCAGAGTCCGTATGTGCCACCTTCAAATATTCAACCAGCTTTGCAAAACTTCCTTCCCCCGTGAACGTTGACGTAAAGAACCAATGTTGATAGTAAAACCCCAACTTAAATCGGTGAATAACATATCCCTGGACTCTGAATGGTAAGAAGCCGCCGAGTTTTTTTTTTTAAGTTAGTTTTTCACTAGAGTTCGATGACGTAGTATTCGTTGAAGTGTCTCTTTATCGTCTACCTAAGGATCATTCTCTTGGATGCTTGGCTGATTCGGTGCTGGATTCCGTAGGTATTAAGGCAAGGTGTTAGATAACAACGCCCGCGGGCAACCGGCTGTATTGTCCGATCAGAACGTAATTCCCCGCCGGAGAGACACCCTTGACCTTGCTTAATTCCCCTCATAGGGTTGGTTGAACTGGTGGTCGCAGCGGGGGTTGGCATGGGGTCGCCGTGTTGATAGGGTAGTCCTAGGCCCCCAACAGATTATTGCAGTCAAGCCCCGGCCTACTAAACCGTTGCAACTGAGCGGGGTCTTCGATCGCTGTCGGATGCCTATTTCACAGGCCGAAAGAATGGTACAGCCCACGAGTTGGATTAACGTCCGGTATCACGATAATCACAGCAGCTTCATAACGTCTTCGAACGATACCATTCTCTGTACTAGAACACGTTCAAGTTTAATTGGGCACTTGAGGAAGCCTTTCAGATAACGATATCAAAGCTCACCAGTGCCTTTGGAATCGGTCATCATCATTTCTTTGCTCATCACATCGCATTCACCCTGGCCTGACCACACACCTTCAACGCACCTAGTCCCAGACAATCAAGATGACCCGACTGATCGAAACCGTCGACCTCTCGAACACATCCACGGCATACTACGCCCCAGCAACAATCACTCGCGCCGGTTCTCTCGTGCATGTATCAGGCTTGCCCGGCAACACCAAAGATGGCCAGGTGCCGTCAGACTACGACTCACAAATCCACCTCGCGTTGCTCAACCTTCGCAAAGTCATCATAGCTGCCGGATCGACTGTGCCAAATATTGCCAGTTTGACTCTCTACATTGTGGACTACGATGCCTCCAAGCGCCAGCACGCCCGCCACGTACAGCGGTTCCTGGGAGCGCACCGCCCCGCAATGACGCTCGTCCCCGTACAAAACCTGGCGGTGCCGGGCTGGTTGATCGAGGTCAACGCCGTGGTCGCTCGGCCAGAGGCACCTCCAGTTCCTCGGAGCCTTCCTTCTGTGCAGGAAACTGTCGATGTTGTCATTATTGGTGCGGGATTGGCGGGCCTTTCCGCTGCTCATGAGGTCCGGCGGGCTGGACTGAGTTGCGTCGTTTTAGAGGCCCGGGATCGTGTAGGCGGCAAGACGTGGAGTCAACCGATGGAGGATGGCGGGGATAACGGAGTGTTCGACCTCGGTGCGGCCTGGATCAACGACACGAACCAAAGCAGGATATATGAACTTGCGACGAGATACGGCGCCGAGTTGATCGAACAGAACACTAAAGGCAACTGTGTTCTTCAAGATTTTGATGGCAAGTGCAGTCCTTTCCCATATGGGGAGCTGCCCAAAGTTAGTTGCACATATTTCCCCTCAGAGTTCGACCTTTACTCACATATTTGTTCTGGGAACAGTTCAGCGAAGCGACTCGTAATCATTTGGCTCAGATTAGGGACATGGCAGAAGCAGACTGCCAGGCCCTCGACGTTCTCAGACCAAGGGACACATCTCTCGATTCCCTCACATTCGAGGCCTACCTCAAATCTCGCGGTACCGACAGTGTTGCTCTGGCCACGGCCACTGTATGGACACGGGCCATGTTGGGCCAAGAGCCGAAAGACATCTCAGCACTGTACTTCCTGAACTATTGCAAGTCCGGTGGTGGACTGTTGCAGATGCGATCAGACAGGAAAGACGGCGGGCAGTATCTACGAGTGCGCCAGGGCACGCAGCTCTTTTCCAAAGGGTTGGCTTCGTCATTGCCTGAAGGTGTCGTCCATCTCTCTAGCCCCGTACAGGCTGTTGTGCAGAACGACCATCGCTCCGTCAAAGTCGAGGCCAATGGCAAGGTCTACTCTGCGACAAAGGTCATCACCACCGTCCCTGGGCCCGTCCTCAAGACGATATCGTTCCAACCGGCACTTCCCCACACGAAGCAGGCTTGGATCGAGTCTCAAACTTACGGGTACTACACAAAGGCTATGATGGAGTTCAGCACCCCGTTCTGGGTTGAGAAGGGTTACTGCGGCTTGGCTCAGTCTTTCATCGGCCCAGCCTCCGTGATCCGTGACACGAGCAGTCCGGCAGACAAGAAGTTCGTACTGACGTGCTTCATGGCCGGCGAGCCTGGGAAGGCATGGGCGGCAACGACAACCGCCGAGCGCGAGAACAGCCTACTGAAGCAACTGAGCGAGTTGTATGGCGTTGAGAACATCCGTCAGCTTTTCAAGCAAATGGTATTCTATGAATGGGTCAACGATGAGTTCTCGGGATGGGGTTGCCCTTGCACATCGCTCACTCCTGGAGTTCTTGATACGCTTGGTGGAGACGGACTCCGGGAGCCGCATCGTGATGTTCATTTCGCGGGAACAGAAACCGCTGGTGAATGGAAGGGCTACATGGAGGGCGCTGTACGAAGTGGAGAGCGGGCTGCTGCGGAGGTTGTGAAAAGTCTCCAGGGCGGTATTGTATCGCGCCTTTAGTTGACCTTTTCTCCAACGCAAGGGGGTTGACATCACTAGAGGTCAACATGATTTCAAGATCTAAGATACCAACGTGCCTCTTCATCTGTCACATCGCCCTCACATCTACCAACTCGCACGAACTTATAATCAGCGTGGCATCGACCCCAAATGCCGTGGTTTGGTTCACCGGCACAGATAGTGGCACGTCCACTGGTGATGTGTGCGTATGGCGTTGAAATTGGCGGCGTCGGACTTCTGTTTTCGCGCCGTTCTAGAAGACCGTGCAGCTCAGACAAGGCGCTGTTACTCTGTGCCGGCCTCAGTGCATGAGCCTGGTGTTTCGCCCACCGGCCTGGCATGCAAGCTTCATCCATTCACATTCGGCCAATCTTTTGACTGGCCCAGCAGGTTAAGGTTTGCCCTTCCGAAGCAGTGGTCCCGTAGAGTCTTTGTTAATAGCGAAGCAGACATGGATGTTCCCAGTCACCTCTGGTGCAATGCTCGGTCACCTCGGTTTGTGGGGGGCTTACAGCCAGTCGATGGAGGAGTGTAAGTGTTCATCAACCTAGCTCCGGTGCGATGGACTCGGGATTCTGGGACAGCCTGGCCTGACACAATAGATGTATCACGCTTCTTTTGACTTTGACCAACGGCTTTTGAGGTTGCGAATGTGACATTGGATGTTGCGCTTATCGAAGGGATTTTCTTGTACTTAAAACGTGGCTGGGGGCTGTAGCTCATACAGCGTGCTTGAGGCCTTTGTAGTTATTGTTGTCATCGGCTAGTTAATCTCTGGTTCTCATTGAGTCCTGTGTCTACCTAGTTCTGAATGCAAGTCGACTTGTAAACTTCTCTTTTTCGACACACTTGGAATATTATCTAGACAGCTTAGGTTATCTCCAAGACAAATCGGCGTCGCCAACCACCGGCAGGATCAAAATGCTCACAACCTCATTCCAGTTGACTCACGTCACCCCGGTCCCGGATTACATGACCCGTGAGGAGGTCCTCTCCCGCCTCCACAACGCAGAAGTCCACATCAAGAGCGACCCCAACTTGACGCACTGGACGCCCAGCACGCCAAAGGTGCCACCCACTGTCCCAGAGGATGTCGATTCCATTGCAGTCACTGAGTGCTTTACCGTTACGGATACTGTGCCCACCAATCTCCCAAAAGCGCTGCCCAAGGGCATGTTGGAGAAGAAGAGCATTAGCGAGTACGAGTTCACCTTCACCCCGGACGGAAGCTTCGTCAAAATTCACTGCCCCATGAGCGTTCTCTTGGAAACGCGTTGGTGTGTTCGGAAGGGAAGCGACGGCAGTCTAGAGTTGGAAGAAGTTGTGGACGCTCACTGCTCTCGCTTCCTGGTGGGCGTTGTCAAAGGTGAACTGGAGAAGAACTGGGTAGAGGTGCATCGCACGATTTTGACGGGCAAAGCTTGAGCAGTAGGATCATCAATCTCTCGCAATAGACGTGTGAAGGTCTTCATACAAATTACATGTTTCTAGTCACATCTTGACAGAGCGTGGAGCTGTACGGGACCAACGGCTTACTAGTCGTTGATAATTACCTTACTTTGTTCCAAATAATCCACATTTCATGCTGATCATCAGTCCTCATGACCACCTGAGTTTTTCCGATGCAGTTCAAGTCTCCTGCACCTTCTCATGCTGACCTCCTGAATACGACCTTCACTCCCCTTTGCAGAGCTCCCCGCGTGACTTCCAAATTTCGTACTCGAAGTCGGGTTGGAACTCCGTGTATAAAGTCTCCTGTTAGACAACTGCGAATTAGCTTTGCTTCTCTGCGAAATTGTGCGTACCCGTCTTCACGTACCGGATCAGCGTTGACCTTGGCTGTGAACTCGGCCTCCTTTTCACCGATCATGTTCTTGGGAAGATTTGTGCTTTCCACCATAATCTGGACCTCGCATGACTTTTCCATCAGTGTGAAAAGATACGCTGCCTCATCAACCGTGCCTCCAGTCGTCAACAAGCCATGGTTTTGAAGGACAATGACGCGGCCCTTTTCGCCCAGAGACTCTGCAATCTTTGCGCTCTCGTCTGCCTCTAGGACGACACCGCCAAATGACTTGTAGACAGCCTGGATCCCCCAAAAGTTGCAAGTATCTTGGCTGATGATATCAAGCGGTCTACCGAACGTCGACCAGGCTTTTCCGGCTGGCGAATGCGTATGACAGGCTGCGTGGATATCAGGACGAGCTTTGTGAATGGCGCTGTGGATCATGAATCCTGCTGCGTTGACAGCCGCCCTATTCCCGCCGATGACTTGGCCCTCTTCGTCAATCTGAACCATGTCACTGGCTTTGAGCATTCCGAAATGTTTACCAAGCCTAAGACATGTTAGGGAGGTGACAAAAGTTTGGTCAGACCAACAGAACTCTCACGGGTTGATCCAGAAAGTATTCGGATCTACAGGGTCGCGAACACTAATGTGTCCACTGGTTCCCTCGGTGAACCCTTTACGCGCAAATACCCTAAATGCGCCAGCCATATGCTCGAGCTGCCATTGTCTCTTCATGTATGGGTCTGTGATATTCGGAATGCCAGGGAACACATAGCCACCTGTGGATAGAGCTGACACTCCCGTTTTCTCCGCGGGGGGTTCGACTACTGGCGCTGTTGCAAGGATTTCCGATGATTTTGTGATGGTCTCGCTGGGCGCAGCAGTCATAGTGATTGTTGTAGACATAGTTGAGATGAAGCGTGGGCTTGGTTCGCAGAATCCTCGTAACGCGACAGTGAACTCAGTGAGACTTTGCTTATCTCACGACGTGATACCAGGTAGTTCGTTCAAGACCCTTCTTATCCAACAGAATTTGTCTAGATCTGAGTTCATGTTGTGTTTGCGGGTATGAACATTGCCCTAATTCAAACATGGCTTACTGTCATTGACAATCGACCGAACGACGAAGCATGTTGCATTTGGAAATCAATTGCGACTAGCGGCTAGTTTCGCTGTCGCCTTCCATCGTAGGATCTCTTCTAATAATACTCCGTACCGTCTTATCATTCTCTCCACTCCAATCGGCGCCGGCTTGGCGAATGATGATAAGCTTATCCGTATCTCCCGGGCTTCTCGCCGGGGCCCCGCGAGTTTATCTCCAAGACCAGGGTCGTCCGGGAAAGCAACAGATTACGAGGTTGGTCGGGCGGGGTTCAGATGCCCGCTGCTATCGCTCTCAGTTTCCTGTTTCACACATACGTATGAGAAGCAACACCTTGATCGGTATCTGAACTCCTCGACGTGACCGATGTCCTCTTCGAGACCTGCTGCGTATCTTGGTCGAAGGCGTACCAAGACATTTACTGGCTGCTGGACATGCCGCTCGAGAAAAGTGAAGTGTGACGAGACTAGGCCATGTTGTTCTCCATGCAAAACAAGGGGCCTTGACTGCCAAGGTTATGGTGTTCGCCTTCAGTGGATGCATCCCGAGACTGTTGCTCCCTCTGAATCGAACTTGCATGATTCTATCGGAACGGCCAACGATGCATCAAGCCCTAGATCCTTAAGACGACAAGTTCCAGTCTGTAGGCTATTCCTCACCTCCATGGACACTAGGTGCAATACTAAACATTATGTAGCAATTGTTCAGCAAGTTCTGAAATGGAGCCAAATCGAGGGAATTCTTAAACTCATTGATTCTGTAGAACCGGCATCGACTGCCAGCGTAGGCGATGACGTGCATATCAATGTTGAGAATTTCGGAGTGTTTGGTGTAAAGACACCATCAAACAACGATCCTCAGCATACTACCGACGTTTTCCTAATGCAAGATGCGCTCACGGCAGGCGAGACTTGCAATGAAGAGCCGCAGCAAATCTCCGGCAAAGGCTTGGATCTCTATAGTTCCTCTCCAAATTCATCAAGTCCCGAAGGACTGCAAATTTTGCCATCGCCTTCACATTCCGAAACTGAAGCAGCTTGGGAGTTATGCAATCTGCATGTGCAACAGCATCTAGAGACAGAGACAGGGGGTTTTGGCCCAGGCTTTGCCGGAGATCATTCAAGTGACCCTCAAGATGAGGAACCTGCTATCGAAATCTCGTCATCTTCATCAACACATCAGCCGTGGCTCGTGAAAACCGTCTCCACTGAGCTTCCAAAACCACCGGTGTCTTTGATCTCTGAACGAGAGCGATTTCTCATGCACCACTACATGCATAGAGTCATCAACATATTCTGCGTCATCGATAATGCAAAGAGCCCCTGGAAGACGATACATCTGCCTCGAGCTATCCAGGGAGCCGGTGAACTGAGTGTGATGGGCGCAACATCCAGAATCCGCAACGCCTTGCGAAATGCGCTGCTTTCCATCAGCGCGTACTACTTCTCAAATGTCCAGACGTCAGATAGGAGGTTGAGAGCGGAGTCGAAATGGGTGGAAGCAGCCACACTCTATCGTTATAATGCGATCGGATTGCTTAAGCAGGCTGTGGAAGTCGATCTGCATTCGCCGGGAAGACCCAAGTACAAGGAGTTTCTGGCGACAATGCTGTCAATGATCACAATTAACGTGAGTTGAACCTTTACCTCGTCATAACTGGCTATGCACCAGAGAAGCGCAGGTTAGCAGTTCATGGGGATTCCTACCTCTGCTAGCATGCAACTGTCCATATTCTTTATGTCATTTATAACTCTTGTTGATGGTGTTCTCATTTCTTGCTGACACATGGGTTAGGTCATGTCGGGAGACACAAGCACATGCGGTGTCCATCTAGACGGCGCTCAACAACTTATCGCCCATATGGGCAAAGGAAAGCCTAGACTGTCTTCAAAAGCTCGAGCCTTGCATAGAATCTACTATTACCTTCGCGTCATCTACGAAAGCACAGCTCCCTTTCGAGATTCATCCTGTGGCTTTTCGCCTTCATCTGGAGACGATACTACCGACGTGCCTCGGTCACTAAGTCGGGAAGTCTCCTCCTCTAACGTCATCCCAGATGAGCATACACCGTCTGCGTACTATGGAACTACGCAAGCAGCACACGAAATGGCTTCATATGAGTGCATCTATGGCATCCCCCAAAGCTTGCTAGTCCTTCTTCAAAGAACCATCGATCTGATCGACAAGGTCGATGCTGCGAGGAAAAAACACGGCATCACAACGATACTGAGAGACTTAGAGAGAATGTGTGATGATGTTGAAAAGGATATTTTCGATTGGCCACTCGACTCGGCGCTCTCCCAGTATCGCAACTCCAACATTGGCACGAGCTTCGACATCATTTACCACCAAACCCGTTCATTTCACAACGCCCTCATCATTTACTTCTCCCAGAATGTCAGACTACTCAGTCATCGATATCTCCGTCAGTATGTGGCAGAGATCCTACATGATATTGAGGCTATAGAGGCCATCAAGACCGAAACCAAGCTGCTTGCTGCACCCCTGTTCTGGCCGGCTTTCATGGCGGCAACGGAAGCACATGCCCAGCATCTCCAAGACCGATTTCGCCACTGGTATGAGAAAGTTGCGGTTTATGGCATCAAAGCTGTTAGAACGGGAACTCAAGTTGTGTATGAGGTGTGGAAACGAGGGCCCACGTCTGATGGTCGCGTCACGAGCCAGTGGCGTTCAGTGGTGGAGGAAACAGGGGTGACTTTGATGCTGACATGATCTGTGGCAGGCATCGAAGGTCGAGCTCAGTTCCAAAAGCTCGCATGGCCTAGTGTTTGAATCGAATGTCCTTGCGGCTACTACCCTCATCCTTTGTCGTCTCGAGGTAGTGAATTTTCTCCTGTGATTCACCATCAGCTCTGGAGGTTACGAAGGCCCTGGCGGGACTTACTTCTTCTGACATTGCGTTCCATTCTTTTTCTCTCTTCTTGTTGCACCACATGTAGAATACTTTAGCGATGAGATAGATACAAATGTTCACGCAGCAAATTCCAATGAGAACTCGGTTGCCACGTCGGTCTTTTGAAATCACAGATTTCGTTAATCTTTCGCGACAAGTCTGGAGTTGTGCCATGGTGAACGCTCACATTGAGGCCTGTCGTCCCCTCGGTAAATGTTGGAGTAGATGACGCGAGCAAGTTGAACCATCATGCTGATAACATATGAGCTTGATGTTTGTTGCATGTGTTCATGTTTCGACCTACTTGTACAAAGCCGCGGAGACTGCCCTGGTGCGAACAGAGTGAGAGTTCCGAGACGCCCAAGAGACGTGCATGGCATGCGCTAGTAATGTCAGATTGAGTTATTGCTTGATTTTCAACAGCAAGCACCGGAACTTACGAGATGGATAGGATAAGAGAACAGTGACAACCGCGTACGGGGCCCAGGGACTGGTATCCGCCGGCAGAACGGCCATGCCAATAAGATTAGGGAGGTACCACAACTGCGTGAACGCACCGAAAAGCGCTCTCGTGTCCCATATCTCGGATAGGTATGTCATGATCAACATAAAAATGGCTCCCAAGAATTGAGGCGGAATACTCAGCAGATTAGTATCGTTCGTGTTGAACCCGAGATTGCGAAGGGTCAACGTGAGATATTGGTCGAGAGGGCCAGACGGGATTTCCCAGAGGAGACCAAAGATGTAAATGGGCCAAAGCTCCCAGTCAGCGAGAGACTTGAGAAGCAGCTTGGGTGTGATTGCCTGTCGATTATGCATGTCGCACTTTGAAGGGTCGTCTCGAAGGATTCGATTGACCAGGATCTTCTCTTCCTGTTCGTTGAACCAGCCCTTGGGCCGCCACCAAGCCTTTGTCTGCGTTGGCGAAGCCGCCATTGCAAACCAGGACCAGACACTGATTGACAGAGTAATGATCCCTTCGATCAGGAAAAGCCATCTCCAAACCTCGTAGCCATTGATTCCATCCATACGAAGAACACCAAGCGCCAACAAGGGTGCCACGATATCCGTAATTCGACGAACTGTCCAGAACATGGCAAGCCTGAAGGGTAGCTCGGTTGACTTGAAGAAGTACGTGAGGTACAAGACGACGTCGGGGATGAAGCCCCCCTGAAGGACACCCAATAGTGCGCGACAAACGAGGAACGAGGTTCGACCGCTAAGCCAGAATTGACATCCCGACACCAAACTCCAGGAACACATGATGAAAGGAATCCAGCGGTCCGGGCCGAGCTTCTTGCTGACCATCTGCGACGGCAATTCTGCGCAGAGGAAAGATATCTGGAAGACCGTGTTGCCCAGGTTGTAGTCGTTGGTGTCCATGCCGAGGTTCTCGAGGAAGGAGGCAGAGTTGGCTTGACTCAGGTTGCCTCGAGGCAGATCGAGAGCGAAGAACGCTGTGGCAACGTCAGAGACCTTGCATGAGGATTTAATGCCATAATACACGTACCAAGACACGCCCATAATGTCACGCGCCAATCCATCTTGGTGATCAGAGGCAGCTCCTCGCCCCAACTCCATCGGAAGGTCGGGTCGAACCGATGCAGGTTCTCGTACTTTGGATGTGGCTGGAAGAACTTCGCTGTGGATGGGTGGTCATAGACAGATGGCTGTGTCGCTATGGCACTGGGACCGTACCCATTCTTCTTTTTGAAAAGGGACAGAATCGGGATGATGGGTGTATCTTGCTGGCGAAGATCGGCTTGCTCACGAAGGATGCGATTCTTTGTTTGCTCGATTTCCTCGTCTGTCGCCTCAAGTTTGATAGTGTCAGAATCTTTCTTGCTCTCTGGCTCCGAGGCCGAGGCCGAGGATTGGTCGATGATTTGCTTCATGTTCTCAGACATCTTTGGATCCATATGCATCGCAGGAGAGGTGATATCTCTTGGCGGCTCAGCCCGGGCAAAGGCTCATGTTCTCCAAATCAAGGGGGCCGAGGATATTTGAGGATGAGCATGTCAAGATCAACTCTATTGACAGGGACTGGACTGGACACTAGTGCTACCTTTTGGCGCAATATTCGTGCGTTGCTCTCTTGGATGTTTGGACCTTGGTTGCCAGATGATTTTGCGTGATATTCGATCCCTTCAACCGGATCTTATTGCAACAATGACGAAAATACAAGGGGAAGACATCGCCAAGTATTCCCAACACTAATAGCTTCATAATTCATCGCCAAACGCCAACGAACCCACGTCCAATCCCAGCCAACCTAAGTCTCACTGCTGATTCAATCGAAATTCTTGTCCTTGGTGATTCTTGGCCGTGACAGTGCTTCTTTCTCGTCATCCGCAAATGAACGATTCGGGCCCCGGGAATAACTATGAGAACAAGCGACAAAAGATCAAATGTGAGCGAGACTGAGATGATGATGCGATTTACCAAGAGAAAGACGTGCTTTTTCTGCGATAAGTCTGCAATGACAAGACCACAGGCAGCAACTAGCGGTTGCTTGGTAGTCTTGGTACTGCATCTTGGCGACTTTGTCTGGGAGACGAGCGCTGTATTTATAATGAGTGGATGCCGATTCCGCACTTCGCTTGGAATATGGTGAAATTCGGTCAAGAATTGTCTAACCTTAGAGGTCTTGTCTTTAACCAAGCTTTCATATGGGATTTTCTTCTTGAGGCTTTGCACGCCCCAAAGATGTCTAGCCTGCTAACAAAGCCTAAGGTATGAGGGCATTCAAAGTGGCTGGGACCTGCCAAACCGTGGCTGGTTTCTTCGCATGTGCATACAGAAGGAGAAGACTGAGTCTACAGCAAAGAATACCGTCGTAGGTTTTGATATTAACATCTGATGGGAAGTTCATCCAAGGCTGCCGTTTGTATATTATCATGATCTATCCATGCGTATCCCGTTCCCTCCGCCGCATCCATAGCATCTTATGCCTAAAGGATCTGCTCCTGTCTATCATCCATAAAATCAATACCTAAGCGCTTGTTCCATACCAAGTCCTCACTCTTGACGACTGTTCTCAGACCAGAACGGAAGACCAGATTGAGCTCTAAGGGTTCCATACAATGCTGCGCCGTCCAGGTTCTCGCCTCCGTACGCTCTGGCGCTGAGCATGTTGTTCGCCGCAATGTCCAGCGCCGGCATCCTCACTCCGAGGTCGTTGGCGACTCTCAGCGCATGTTTCGCGTCCTTGATGGTGTTCGACACCAGGAATCCAGCCGTGCCCTCCTTGGGAGCCCAGGACCCGCTGGTTAGTCTGCGCGAGTAGCTCCCCAAGACCGGTCCGAAGTTTTCAAAGATAAGATCTTCCATCACGTTGCTTCCGATACCGTTCTGTTCGGCCAAGACTTGAGTCTCGGCAATGGCCTCGAGGAATACGACGAGAAGCACGTTCCTACAAGGTGTTTGTTAGCGATCCCCGTATAGTCACGCATACTTTCTGACGGTACGTACCCTGTAACCTTCAACATGGGGGCCTTCTTCACGTCTTCGCCCATGTTGATGACTTTTCTGCCCATCACATCAACAACCAGGGGCTCGAGACGCTCAATGGTGGCAGTGGGGCCAGCCATGGCGAAGATGAGTCTTCCGGCCTGGGCCACTGGGTTGGCGCCAAAGACCGGGGCAGCGATAAAGGTGGCGCCGGCCTTTTGCAAGGTCTCCGATACGGATCCCGCCGTGTCGGGGTGTATTGTGGAGCAGTCGATGAACGTCTTGCCGCTGAGGTCGATGCCGCTTGCGAGGAGTTCCTCAATTAATGACTGAAGAACTGCATCCACCGAGACCTGCTTTGATGGTTAGGCAACAGTCCCAGAGAAGTGACCTGATTTCAAATCGATAGGCGAGACCGACCATGGTGAAAATGTCGTCGCACATTTGTGCAACCTCTACAATGTTGTTCTTTGCAACAGCTCCTGCTTCTACCAGTGCGGCTCCCTTTGAAACAGTGCGGTTCGAGAATGTCAAGTTGGCTCCGTGAGATTGAAGCTTCTTTTGCAGGTTGATGGCCATGGGCAAACCCATCGATCCAAGGCCGAACTGGTTTTTAGTTAGTGCCAAGGTCTAGGAACCTGGATATCATCTTGCCTGGTTCACTTACCCAGCCAACGGGCTTGATTTTCTGCATTTTGTGAAAGGAGATACTTGGGTACTGAGTAGGTATCTGAGGTGACTGGTCGTTGAAATTTGAATGAAGTGTTTTAATATTAGCTCAAGTCAAGAATATTATTTTATTGGATTCAGTTTCGTCCATCGTGAACCAGTCTTTATGTCTGGCTTCTCGAAGTCATGAATAGTGTTCTTCGCCTCCGTCGGCTTGCTACCCGACACGATGCCGTGAGGCCTACATCGCCGGCAGAGGATAATGGCTCATCGCCTATCAATGATGTGGACAAACGATAAGCTGAAACTTAGCTCTCATAGAAAGAACTACGCTCTCACTTCAATCTTCAATCTTTTTGCTGCTTAGATGCTAATGTGGTGCAGCGATGCCGGCCCGCAATCCGAGAATGGCTGATAAGCATATCTCGGATGATCCACCCGGGGTCCACTCCGCACTCTAACAGATCTCACGCGCCCGCTTTCGGAGTCGAAGTCCGAGCTGTCGGCCCAAACGTCTTTGGTTTGTTCTAGCACTACTCTGGTCGATTCACCTGGTCACCTTGGCTTCTTGTCGGCTTGCAGACCGAATAATGGTGCTTTTCAGTAGAGATCCGATCTTATCTCTGCATTTATTTGATGACGAATGATGCTAGCTAGTTTCGGGGCGACCCTCAAAGTTCTTGGTGTATGTAAGCGGCTCCAAGTCTGCCAGTGTCCGTCAAAACATCATTTTGGGGTTTAACTTGAGTTGATTGAGGGCAATATTCTGAAAATTATTCGTTTGAGATCTTGAGTTAATTAATTGAGTTACATAAGATGCAGCACTGATGTGAGTTTGGGTCTACTGGTTTTCCTCTTCAATTAAATCCCCTCCACTTTGCCACATTTCGTCTTGAACGAAGCAATTTTGTTGTGGTATCTCCCTAAGATGCCAACCTCCCAGTCCCACCGAGACCATCCGACAGATCACAGATAATCAATTGTAGTAGGGATGATCTAGCCCTTCACTGCACATTTCCATTTCTAGAAGGAAACGAGTTTTACATACTTTGGGTCACGTTTTGGAAGGTTCATCTACTATTGAGGCAAGCCTACCTTACTTGACTTCTCTGTACACGGCTCGAAAATTCCGCAATTTCCACAATATTGGACCTTCATCTGCTTTTGCAATGCCCTTAGACTATTCGCGTAAGATTCATGGTTGCAAGCCAGGCTTCCACAGTTGCATTGGATCCCTATCGTCTGACGGACACCTTCCGTTTCAAGAACTTGGCATTGCGTTCCCCCCACTAACAGAACCTGGCACCGTAACACCGCGGCGTGTCTTCCACGAAGAGCAGCTCGACTGTGATACAGATGAGGACATCTCGTATCGGGGCTTGCTAAGATCCAAACGCCCTGACGCAAAAGGCGAGGGATATGACAGCATGCGATGAACACCACAAGAAATGAAGGATATTAAAAGCTTTG